ACACACGAAACACACAGACGATAGATCGCCACAATTACTTCTGTATGTACTCGCGACCGCTCTCTAACAATAATTATACACGAAAATACGAGAAAACGTGTCGTGAATATTAATCCGTTCACCGGAGAACACCTCGCTTGTACCGTCAAGGCTGCGGCTATGAAAGAGTTCACTTAATGATGTGCGGACTGATTAATATTCGACAAATACGCGCGATAATCCGTGAGGTACGTCATCGATTTCCTTCCGTTCGCGTTCAAATTACGTCCGTCCGTCCGTCCGTCCGTCCGTTTTCCATTAGCGCACGCTCAGCCGACATTAACGAACCGCAACGAACGCGAAAGAATTACTTTTTTCGAGCGACGATAATACTGCGCAGCGCGGCGAGATAAGCGGAATAATAGAAAGCTGGAACACAATGTTAAATGGCGAAAAAAAAAAAAAAGAATTTCGCGGAGTCTAATAGAGTCTTGTTGTTTTGTTTTTTTCTTTCTTCCTGAGGAAAAATCGATCCCGACGCGACACGCGCGCGCAACGCGTATGTGTTCGCGGGAATAAAAATTGACGTTGCAATTACGATGCGTTACGTTGCGCCGAGAATGGGATCAAGTTCGCGTTTCGATAGAGACGCCAGGACGGAACAGCTCGTGCTCTGGAACACGTTAAATAATTACTGGTATCAGTGGTAGCGCGTAATTGTCGGTTATCGCAACATAGCGACAGGCACGGGCGGTTAAATAACGATCGGCCGTTGTTGTAGCAATTCGAGAGAGGCGAGACGTTTTCATCCGCCGTACCGGAGTTCGACGAGAGAAAGACGATGCGAGATGAAGACGCGAAATAAAATGTAACGGAGAAGGGGAGAAGGAGAAAGGAGACGAGAGTAGAACGAGAGTGAGAGGAATGAGCTGCGACGTACTGCGATTTCACGGCTGAGACGCGCGAGAGGATCCGCAGTCACGCTTCGTGATTCTCCCTGTGTGTGTGTGTGTATCTCTCCTCTCTTCTCTCCTTGATCCGGGGAAAAAAAAAAGAAACGGAAAGCTTTATTTCACTCTCGTGTCGAAACTGGTTATTCACGTCAGACGTTACAGCGACTTGCATTAATCCCGCGCTGTAACGGTTGGCATTAATTGAATTCTCCAGAAGAGGCACAAGGAAAATTTCACGTCTGGGAAAATCGCGTCTCAAAAGGGCGACATAATATATTTACCTCACGTATAATTACCTCATCTTGCAAAGTATAGAATGTAATTCGTCATGGACGAGAGAGAGAGAGAGAGAGAGAGAGAGAGACTCATCATCGGCCGGTCAATATTACTCGCGTTTTCTCGCAACAAAAAACTATTACCGTAAGAGAGCAGGTATCGATACTACCTATATAGTATCAAATACGGAGTTACACAGCGATCGCGCGCGAAAAGTATGCACATTTTAATGACACATCGTTTCAGTTTCATTAGCCGTCCATCCAGGTGATATAATTGAAAGCGTCACCTTTCACTCGCAGTTAGAGAATCGTCGCGCATTTCCGACACTTGATTATCATCGAGTAATCTCCCGGGGCTCGCGCAGGATATAAATAGCGAATGTAATTGAATGAAAACGGCACGAACGGAATAATTGACTGTGGTAAGGCAATCGCGAATTTTCCTCGTCCCCGACGCTACCATTCGAACGCGATGCGAAGGATCGAGCGACGGATATCTTATCCTTACGCGATCGCGTAAGGAAGCATATTTTCAATGCACGAATTTCGCACGGCGACGATGGAAAAGCGGCGAAGGAACCGGAGAGGATTGTACGACGCATTATCGTCCAAACGCCAACCCGGTCTTTCCCGGAACACGAGGAACAATGCCCGATCTTATCCGAGATCCTTGTACACGAATAGAGAGAGTGCGGGACTTGGTTCGTAATTAACTACTAAAAAAAAAGTATCCCAATAACATTATTTAATTCGGGCCTGTCCAATTTTAGCTCCGGGGCCAAAACGCGAAGGATTCGATGCGAATAAGATTTCAGAGACTGCAAAGTGTTGATAAGCGGGGCTCAGATCAGCACTTTACACTTAAACGTTGATTTTTTTTTTGCGTTTTGACTCCGGAGGTAAAATTGGACAGATCTGTATCTTATAATTCTTAGCGCAACTTGCAAAAAATATCGACTTGCGCTACCCTTGAAATTTATGCGACGCCGCTGGTATAAATGTATCGATCTCGTTTAAACGTAATTTATATCGCTACAAAGGACAATACACTCAGAAAAATGTCTGAATTAATTCTGGTTAAAAAATGGAACGAATAAAATCTGTTCCAATTAAATCTTCTAATTGAAATAATCGAAATTCTTGATATAATTAGAATCTTTTGCTTCGTCCACCTTTAACATTTTTCTCGGTACGTTATTGCGATAAATTAATTATAATCTATCTCGCACCGACACACACACACACACACACACACACACACAAGACTCGATATTGCCTGGCTCTAACTTCGTCGGGTTCTCGTCAAGTTTGCGAATCGAGTAATTGTCAGAAGTAAAAACGATTTTATCAACTCACCTTGACACGGAGGTAAATTACTCTACGATCAACGCCAGCTTTCCGCCCGTCTGAAACACAAAATACAACAAAGTTACGACCGGTTTGCCACAATTAACGACGTGAGCTCAGCAAGACGAGACTGTCCGCCAAACTGTCGTTTTTAGAGGAGACACGCGCATGTATTGTGGAACTTTCTAAGCGAAAATTACGACACACTCCGCGTACACAAAACATGTCGAGAGGCGCACGTTTATTTTCATTCCAATAACGCGCTGAATGTTATTGACTTGAACGTATTTTCCTCGCAAGGTGTTTAACCTCCTAATAGCCTTACGTACGAAATATTGTTTACAGTTCTAAGAATTGAGAAAACGCGTCTTAACTGTCCGTAGAGAATCGCAAATTCACGGCGCGAAAAGGACAAAAATAAGATAAATCGTCAAGAGTACCGTGTCGAATTTATGAATAATGCGTCACTTAATCGCGAGAGAGAGAGAGAGAGAGAGAGAGAGAGAGAGAGAGAGAG